CCCAGCTTCTTGTGCACCGGGCAGAGCATGGGAAGCTGAAAAGTCCTTGACTGGTGTAAGCACTGCTTAGCAACAACTAAAACATCAGTGTGTTATCAACATTATTCTCATCCTAAATCCAAAACACAGCACTATGCCAGCTACTAGGAAGAAAATTAACTCTATCCTAGCTGAAACCAGGACACCCAGGGACCAGCTGGGCCATGGGGCAGCCAGGCCAGATGGGGCGGCAGCACTCGTGTCAAGGACAGCAGCCAGCTGCCTGGCCTGGCTCACCAGCTCCTTCAGTTGCACATTGCTCTCACAGCATCACCAGCTCTTCCTGCCTCTGTGTGAGGGTCTCCTGCAGCTGTGAAGGACAAGTGGGGACAGGGCAGTCGGGACAGCCCCCATCACCCAGGGGCCGGAGGATGCTGGTTGTGTAACCACCTCAGTGAGATGCGAGGGTGAGAAACCCAGCACAGGCCCTTGAGGAGGGCTTGGGGATCCCTACCTGGCTGTTTGCCTCCAGGGCATCTCCCAATGCTTTCTGGTGCTGGTCCGCCAGATCCCTCCAGCACAGCTCAGGGGAAGGCAGACACTGCGGTGGCATCTGCACCAGCACACTGCTCTCCAGCTGCGGGGTGCAGAGGCCAAAGGCCACCTCCTCACCAAGTGACAAATCAAAGTTGGCGCAGTGCAGTGGCAGTAGCATTAAGGTGGGTGCATCTGGAGGGAAAAGCTGCAGGCATTAGGGCAGAGGAGGTTTTCACATCTTCTCTTCCCCCCAACCCTAGTGCTCCATCCTGGTTCTGAACATCTTTGAGAAGTAAGAACTGACTGTAATTACTAGCTACAGGTGTTAACAGTTTTCATTGTACACTGACTCCTCAGGCATGAGAGGAGAAGCAAGAGAGTTCAAGGAACTAGCCCTAGAGAAACAAGGCTCTTGTGAGTATTTATTTAGTAACTTACCAGGTGTTGTTTCATGTTAATTTATTACACAGCACAGATAAAATGGCAATGATATGAAGTCTATAGTTACATGGGTAAAAATTACAAGGGAAAAAATTAAAATAAGAAAATAAAGGTTCAAATGAGAATTTAAGGTTTATGCTGAGGATCACTGTCAGATAGGAAGTCTTTTAGAGAAGAAATCTTATCTAACAGCTTAGAGTTTGCGTGAAGGTATTCAGTTATGCATAAGCATGTTCATTGGCAGCTTAGAGTTAATGAGACACTATGTTCCACTAATAAACTACCTTTAATCCACAAAGGTTAACTGGATGTTAATGCTGTATATGTGGACGGGACAGATGGGGGTTTGTTCTGTTCGTGGGTCTGTTTTGTGATATCTCTCTGGGAGGTGGAGTTGGCAGGCAGGAAGAGAGCTGCCTCTTTACCATGCTCTGATTGCTGTCTGGAGGGCCTGGGAAGGCTCTTAGTGAGAGCAGTTTGAGTAAGTGGGAACCAAGTCCCTTCATGAGTTTGAGTTGGTGCCAGCAAGGGTGACGATAGTGGTCAGGGAGCCAGGGGCTTGGGAGGGCTGCGGTGAACTGGGAGCAGCCAAAGTAACCAGGCCTTGCTGGAAGGGAAGACCTTCATCCTAGAGACCAAGGGAAGGCAGCATGGGGTTTGCTGTGATTCCAAAAGTTGCTGAGTTGTTATATGGAGAGTGTATATGGGAGGTGTCACGTCCCATATGGGGAGGAGGGGGGAGGAGTGACTAAGATTCGCAAATCCTCTCAGTGTGGATTAGGGTGGGCCAACACTCAAGGTCTATACACAAACACCAGCTTTAATAGAAAGCTTCTACAGAAACAAATATTAAGTACAAATATTTGATACCCGCCAGCCCTCTCATGGTTATATCTAACCCAGCTATGCAGCTTTATGGAAAGTCAAGGTAGGTCGTGCAGTACTTGACTACAATTTAACACCTTTAACAACTTAATCACCTTAGGAAAAGTGAAAGAGAGAGAGAGAAGGAAAAGAGAATCACCAGTCCTGGATGCAGCGTTGGTCCTGCCAACAATGGTATTCGGTGAGGAAAAAGGAGAAGAGCGAGGAGGAGAAGTGAGGGTCCTTATTTATAGAGATGTCGATTCTGCGCAGGGTGCTCGGTGATAATTCCACAAATCAAGCACAGAGTCATGCAAACTACAGCACTTTTATCAGGCTACATAACTAGTATAAACCTGCCTAAATTTACACTTACTGGTTAGTGATTAACATTTCATCCACTATTGGTTTACTGTATTTAAATTAGCCTCGCTTGCTATGTAAATTAGCACGCATGCTCCTTTCAGGTGGGGGTGTAAGTCTGGTCGCGATCTCCCCTTGCCGCATTTACCTTTCACCCAGTTACTGCAGTTTTACCAGACTTCATGCTTCTCTGGCCACCATCCAGTCTTTGGCAACAAAATGTTCCCTTTTATCAGCTTGTTAGCTCTTCTTCAAGGTTAGAGCTGTTAGTTTTCCACTGTTCATTACTTAAACAAATACTTTCCTAATTCCTTTCCCAAGGCACAGGTGGTTCGTAGTTTTGCTAAGTGGAAAATTCCTGTTTCTGCAGGACATCAAAGCCACTGCTATTAGGATGGGGGAGCAGGTGGGGATGGTGTCCCAGGGCCCTGGGAAAGGCCAGGCCGCTACGACAGGGAACGCACGGTGGGGGGTGGCAAAGCCCCTGCTACTGGGGGAGGAGGGAAGCCAGGTGGCTTCTACAGGGGCCCGAGGGGAGGCCAGGCCACTGCTGTGGGCGGGGGGGAAGGGAGCGACAGGCCCCACTACGAGGATCTGTGGGAAAGCCTGCGGCCGCCTCCGCGCGCACCTCGCCACAAGATGGCGACCGGCGCGAGGCGCGCGCAGGGAAGGGAAGAAGGTGCGCACCGCCCTGGCACCACCCCCACCTGGCGTCACTCTGGCGCTTATAACGTCACAGCGGCGTACCTGTGGTTCGGGCACCGCCTCTGCCGGTGTGGCTGCGCCGACTCTGCGTGATGGGTCACGGCAGCTGTCAGTCCGCCCTGGGCCTCGGGAAGCTGGAAGAGGCAGTGCGACTGCTCCACAGGACAGTGCCCTCCCAGCATGTGCAGCCCTGCCCTGCTCTCCCTTGCACCAGCCATACTGGGTGTCTCCACATGCACCCACACAAGGACACATGCAAGTGCATTTGTGTGAAGAATTTGGTTCTCATGGTGTTGCTGAAGCAGTCTCAAACTACTCCCCGTTACCCAACCAGGAGGAATATTAAGTCCCAGGGCCAGCAGAGCTTCCCAGGCACCCAGAGGGCTTTCTGCAGGCTTGTAGCCCTACCATTGTTTGCCCAGAGGTGAGCTCACTGACCAGGTGAGAGTATTGGCCCCGCAGTGGGAGCACACAGATAACCAAGCACCTCTGGACCTCCCTGCTAGGATCCTGCTCCATTCCTTCAGGGCTCCCAGGTCACACACAGCTGGTCTGTTTCTTAACAAGTAGAAGGGTTTGGGACCCTCCCAAAAGCATGGCCTCAAGATGACTTTTGTGCTAGGAGAAACTCCAGGCTCTAGCCTGACCAGGCAAGGTGCAGATAACACCCCTCTGAAAAAGAAAGGGCCAGCCACATGCTCTGGCTTGCAGCAGCCACTTAGGTAAGCAGTGGCAGGATGAAGGCAAGAGCTGCTCCCTCCTCCCAGGCACAGGGATGGGAGAACTGCCTGGGGGAAAAGCCTCATCAGGCCAGATTCCCCCAGGCACAGGCAGTTCACATGAATAGAAAGAAACAGCAGGAAGAGCACATGCTGCAGCCCAGGGAAGGCTGTGGGACTGGAAGGGATTTACTTGCCCTTGGCCCAAGGCTGAAACCACTGTACCAGGAGCCACCAGCAGTCTCCTACAAGCTGCCATGAGGTCTCTGCAGTTCACTGCTTGGGGAAAACCACACAGGGAGGGACAGCCAGTCTGTGCCATGGCTGCCCCCAGGGGAGGAAAAGACAACCCAGTTAGCATTTCAGGACTTTACTATGGTCCACAGTAAGAGCAGAAAGGTATTTTTAAACATGTTAAACCAAAACATATTTCATGGAAGTGCAAGATTCGCAAACAGTGGCATATTAAGGAGTAGTGTGGCTTCAATTCAGGGCTGACACAGTGCAGCCACAGAGCCAGGGTGCCCCCAAGAGCCTGTGATGTCACTCGCAGCATGCTCACGACGAGTGGGAAGATGCCGAGATGACAGGGTGCAAGCTGTGCTGCAGCCTCTCCTGAGGAACGCAAGGTCAGCAGTGTCCACAGGGTTCTCTGCACTCCAGGCTCCGCTATCACTCTACCGCAGGTTTTGCTCCCTTGGCCATTTCCAGCTGCGTCAGTATTTCATTCCACTGGACAAACTGCTTGGAGAGAAGCAGGGTCTGGACATTGCTCTTAAGGAAAGAGATGTGGAAACTTCAGGGAAGAAACCAAGGTCAGAGCACAGCCTGAGACTGCCCTGGCAGCTCAACAGCACCATTACAATCCCAATTCCTTGGGAGAGGAAGAGACCTGGAGCACCAGGCTGTAGAAAGCCTGCACGGACTCAAACCATATCCAGGCCTTGAGCCACTGCACAGCAAACACCAATGGGAGTCCAGGAAGCACTTCTGAACACTGCATAGCACTGCATTTCAAGGGCCTTTCTACAGAAAAGAGCAGAGCTCCCTACCCACTGCAGTTTTAGGATGTGTCTCAGCACTGGGATCCTAACATGGCCAGGATTACCCGCTGTTTGGCTCAGGCAGGTCACAGAGACCAGCAGTCACCTGATAGAGATGCCAACATCCAGCTGGCCAGCATGAGCTCTGCACCAGCACACAGGCTGCACTGCTCCTTCGTGCCGAGCTGCACTGTGAGTGGATCCAGCACAGAGGGTTGGCTCACAGGTGGCATCCTGCCCTTCCCATCTCAGAGAAACAGGTAGTTCTGGCCCTCATCTCTGCTCCCGAGAGGGGTATGACAGGGACACAGGCATCACCACACCAGAAAGGGCACTGGCCATTAAACCCAGGGCTGCGGATCGCCTGCTTCCAACAATATCTGATGGGGTGAGGCAGCCCAGTAGACAGGCAGGCAGTTCAGTTGTGTCAGGCCCAAGGCTCAAAGGATACCATTTTGTTGTAGTCTTCAAGGAGCATCTTGACACCGTCAGTGAGATCTTGATGCTGTTCCTGCAAAGAGGGGAGCCTCAGTGAGTGAGCAATAAATAAGCTGAAGGACATCTGTCCTCCCAGACCCTGACAGCACAGGGGGAAACTCATCCAAGGCCAGTACTGAGATTAGAGTCCAGACCCTGGCTGTGGCCATTCATTGCAGCTGGAAGGGTTTCAACAGTCAAGAGAAAGGTTACAGAGAAACACCCAAGCTCACGAAGCGCCAAAGTCATGGGCTTTGCACTACTGCCTGCCTCTCCTCAGCACCCATACTTTGCTTACTCCAGAATGGAAACTCACAGCAAAATGCTGAAAGGGGGCGTTAGGCACTGCCCAGGCGTGCTCAAATGGGGAAGGAAAGGGCAAAGAGATCAGGTGACAGTATCAACAGCCTTCCAGAGACTAGGACGCTGGAGGAGTGCAACACTTTACCTCAGTGTCTCAGCAAGAGGGGGAATGCCAGCTGGTTAAACCCAATACTGCTTATTAAGTATCACTCAAACCTCTGTTTTGAGCAGGCTTATGGTAGGCAAAGCGCTTTTCCAACTCAGACTCAGTTTTTAGAAATCCTGGAAAACTGTGTCGGCCCCCCCCCCCAAAATGCTTAAACCTCTTTAAAACTGCAGCATGAATATCCTGGACAAAATGGAAAAAAAAAAAAAAACTGCTATAAATGAGCAATTCAAACAATTGCAAATACAGGGGTGTCAGTACAGCCACTAACAAGTGGTTCCTTCTCCCTGCTAGTCAAGACTATCAAGAATATTCACACTACCTACTGCTGTATGCGGATTTGAGAGTCGCTGTAGTTTGGCTGCATGGTCAGGAACCGCTGAAAGCGGAGAAATCCATTTTGTTTGTTTTACATCACATGGGATTAGTTACCAAAATAAAGACCATTCTTTCCCCACGAGCACATCACAGCAGAACTCCGCTTGCTGAATGCAAGTACCACATGCCACAAACACACCTTTTATACGATAAAAAAAAATCCTAGCTACACTGTACATTAAATATCAATTTTATTTGCTAACTGCATCTGAATGGCATGAGTTAGGGGATGCCTGCACTGAGGGCTACTCAAGAGCTACATCAGAGTAAACTACTTGAATGAACATTATGGCAAGCAATTAAAAAGGCATCTCTGCGTACACCAGGAGCAGGGATGTTCTGGACATAAAACAGTTCATAAGCAGTAGGCAGGATGGCTCCACGCTGCGTACACCAGGAGCAGGGATGTTCTGGACATAAAACAGTTCATAAGCAGTAGGCAGGAGTGGCTCCACGGCCTGGTGGCTATACACAGTGCTCACTCTCTTTGCCAAGCCACAGGTCTCTAACCTGCTTCCTAACCTACTCTATCACTTCCTTGGCCTTTGGTGGGGGAGCCACATTTCCACCCCACCAGTGCTGGGTGACAGCTATGGCACTCAGCAGTGCTCTGCATGACGTTGCACACTTCCGACAGAGGTCAGGCATGGGACGTTAGAGCAGCACAAGGGAGGAGCAGACATACCACTAAGTTTGCACCTACTTTACTCACACCAGGTTGTGTGCTTAACTGTCCTCTCCTCAAGTCTGAGGCTCAAGAAGAAAAAAAACAAAAAAACAAAACAAAACAACAGGACAGGCAGCAGCTTGAGGGGTGGCATTTGCAGCTTAAGCTTGCAGAAGAACATGCATACCTTGGATACTGGCACTTTCCAAGATGGGCTGGAGGTTCTTCACCTGCTCGGGAAGGAATAACCTGCTCCTCTGATTGGGGAGGGACAAGAAGGAACATCAGTAAATACAAGACACTGCTTTGGCTTTTCACAAAGACTGGTGAGGTAACTTTGGATTAATGGGTACAAATTGTTTTTCTAAACCATTCACACTTAACACACCAGAGAACAGCTTGGCAAATATAAAGCATCTCATAGACAAAGCTAGAGCAAAGTCACAAAAACCTCCGACTGCAGACTCTAAAATCTCCAAGGGGCAAGTGTTCTTAAACAGGTCAACCATAGCCCACCCCCCAAGGGTGGCTTGTCCTGCTCCAAACTGATGATCAAAGAGCTGGGACTGACACCACTATTCCAGCTTCCCTTTTTCAACTGATCTAGCTATACAGAAAGGGGCTTTTTTATGATTTTATTTAGACTTTTGTGTTGTTCACCACTTGATTCTCATTCACAACAACTTAAGGCAGGAGAATCTCCAAGTTTCATTCGCAGAGTATACCAATACAAGGCTGAACCAAATTCTTTGGGGCAAAAGAGAATAAGGCTATAAGGTGTTTAATGTACATCCAAAGGTCTTCAATTTTTGTCACAGCTTAGAGATTATTAGAAATGGGGTGAAGAAAACTGTTCTAGCTCCAGTTTTTCTTTTCAAGCTTTTATTAATTCAGGGTTAAACTGATCAATACTAGAAAGATCAGAACTGATAAAACTGCAGCATGGATGCGCACAAGGGAGCACTAAGGGTGACAGACATTCTTGTACAAACCATCTCTCCGAGAGCTCTAAAGAGGGTGCCTTGCCATATCTTTACAACTAAAGAAATCCATCCCAGTCCAGCTTATGTAAAAGACAACTTCTGCAGTGCTAAAAAAACAAAACAAAAAAACAACACTAAACAACCTGTCTCCTCTCATTTCATGCCATACCTGCCAAGATGAACTGCAACTTCATGGCATCTGGAACAGCCATCCTATCAATGTACTGAGGGTCAAGGTATTTTATTACATCTTCAACTAGAGTGAAAAATAGGTTTGGAGATAATTAGTAGGAGGGGTGTTATCGCCTTTACAGGTGCAACTCCCACCCATGCTATACATCAGGTTACTTTGTAAACACTGCCCATTTAGGGTCTTCTATAGCACTCAAAAACAGGTGACTTTGGAACGCTATAATCAAGAACTTACAAATGGCTCAAGCCAAGTAACTGCTTCATTACAGACACCTGCAACACTTGCTTTTTATTTGGCTAACAATACTAGAGGTGAGGGAAATCTGCTTCTTCCTGCCCTTGAAACAAAACCAGGAAATAGCCCTCCATCCTTAAAGTTATCTACAAATACATAGTTTACATGTTTATACCAAACATATTTATACTGCAGCCTTAGACCACAACAACCCTCCCTACGCAGCCTGCTCCTTCTGTGATACCAGGCAGCAAAGTTTGGCCAAAAGACAGCTTTGCAGGACAAAGCACCACTCCAGCCGCGTGTGATCCCTATCGCTCCCACCACACACACAGGGGAGAGCTGCTGTAGCGTGCCCGAGAAGTCCAAGCATGTAAGAAACCATTTCAGGAGCTCGCACTCCAACAACCCTTGAGGGCTGCATTTCAGGCAGAGCAAATCGCTGTGCCGATGTAGGCAGACATAAAGCAAATAACAGGTTGCAGCAGCCCATTTCCCACCCCCAACAGCTGAGTGGGAGAAGCGCAAGCAGAAAGACACCCCACTTGCTTACTTCTCTGCCAAACACGCAAAACAAGAACCCAAAATCAAAGGAGCTCATACAGGAAGCGTAGAAAGCCCCAAATTGCTTAAACCCCTTTAAAACTGCAGCATGAATATCCTGGACAAAATGGAAAAAAAAAAAAAAACTGCTATAAATGAGCAATTCAAACAATTGCAAATACAGGGGTGTCAGTACAGCCACTAACAAGTGGTTCCTTCTCCCTGCTAGTCAAGACTATCAAGAATATTCACACTACCTACTGCTGTATGCGGATTTGAGAGTCGCTGTAGTTTGGCTGCATGGTCAGGAACCGCTGAAAGCGGAGAAATCCATTTTGTTTGTTTTACATCACATGGGATTAGTTACCAAAATAAAGACCATTCTTTCCCCACGAGCACATCACAGCAGAACTCCGCTTGCTGAATGCAAGTACCACATGCCACAAACACACCTTTTATACGATAAAAAAAAATCCTAGCTACACTGTACATTAAATATCAATTTTATTTGCTAACTGCATCTGAATGGCATGAGTTAGGGGATGCCTGCACTGAGGGCTACTCAAGAGCTACATCAGAGTAAACTACTTGAATGAACATTATGGAATTAAATTAAAAAGGCATCTCTGCGTACACCAGGAGCAGGGATGTTCTGGACATAAAACAGTTCATAAGCAGTAGCGTGGCTCCACGGCCTGGTGGCTATACACAGTGCTCACTCTCTTTGCCAAGCCACAGGTCTCTAACCTGCTTCCTAACCTACTCTATCACTTCCTTGGCCTTTGGTGCAGGAGCCACATTTCCACCCCACCAGTGCTGGGTGACAGCTATGGCACTCAGCAGTGCTCTGCATGACGTTGCACACTTCCGACAGAGGTCAGGCATGGGACGTTAGAGCAGCACAAGGGAGGAGCAGACATACCACTAAGTTTGCACCTACTTTACTCACACCAGGTTGTGTGCTTAACTGTCCTCTCCTCAAGTCTGAGGCTCAAGAAGAAAAAAAACAAAAAAACAAAACAAAACAACAGGACAGGCAGCAGCTTGAGGGGTGGCATTTGCAGCTTAAGCTTGCAGAAGAACATGCATACCTTGGATACTGGCACTTTCCAAGATGGGCTGGAGGTTCTTCACCTGCTCGGGAAGGAATAACCTGCTCCTCTGATTGGGGAGGGACAAGAAGGAACATCAGTAAATACAAGACACTGCTTTGGCTTTTCACAAAGACTGGTGAGGTAACTTTGGATTAATGGGTACAAATTGTTTTTCTAAACCATTCACACTTAACACACCAGAGAACAGCTTGGCAAATATAAAGCATCTCATAGACAAAGCTAGAGCAAAGTCACAAAAACCTCCGACTGCAGACTCTAAAATCTCCAAGGGGCAAGTGTTCTTAAACAGGTCAACCATAGCCCACCCCCCAAGGGTGGCTTGTCCTGCTCCAAACTGATGATCAAAGAGCTGGGACTGACACCACTATTCCAGCTTCCCTTTTTCAACTGATCTAGCTATACAGAAAGGGGCTTTTTTATGATTTTATTTAGACTTTTGTGTTGTTCACCACTGGATTCTCATTCACAACAACTTAAGGCAGGAGAATCTCCAAGTTTCATTCGCAGAGTATACCAATACAAGGCTGAACCAAATTCTTTGGGGCAAAAGAGAATAAGGCTATAAGGTGTTTAATGTACATCCAAAGGTCTTCAATTTTTGTCACAGCTTAGAGATTATTAGAAATGGGGTGAAGAAAACTGTTCTAGCTCCAGTTTTTCTTTTCAAGCTTTTATTAATTCAGGGTTAAACTGATCAATACTAGAAAGATCAGAACTGATAAAACTGCAGCATGGATGCGCACAAGGGAGCACTAAGGGTGACAGACATTCTTGTACAAACCATCTCTCCGAGAGCTCTAAAGAGGGTGCCTTGCCATATCTTTACAACTAAAGAAATCCATCCCAGTCCAGCTTATGTAAAAGACAACTTCTGCAGTGCTAAAAAAACAAAACAAAAAAACAACACTAAACAACCTGTCTCCTCTCATTTCATGCCATACCTGCCAAGATGAACTGCAACTTCATGGCATCTGGAACAGCCATCCTATCAATGTACTGAGGGTCAAGGTATTTTATTACATCTTCAACTAGAGTGAAAAATAGGTTTGGAGATAATTAGTAGGAGGGGTGTTATCGCCTTTACAGGTGCAACTCCCACCCATGCTATACATCAGGTTACTTTGTAAACACTGCCCATTTAGGGTCTTCTATAGCACTCAAAAACAGGTGACTTTGGAACGCTATAATCAAGAACTTACAAATGGCTCAAGCCAAGTAACTGCTTCATTACAGACACCTGCAACACTTGCTTTTTATTTGGCTAACAATACTAGAGGTGAGGGAAATCTGCTTCTTCCTGCCCTTGAAACAAAACCAGGAAATAGCCCTCCATCCTTAAAGTTATCTACAAATACATAGTTTACATGTTTATACCAAACATATTTATACTGCAGCCTTAGACCACAACAACCCTCCCTACGCAGCCTGCTCCTTCTGTGATACCAGGCAGCAAAGTTTGGCCAAAAGACAGCTTTGCAGGACAAAGCACCACTCCAGCCGCGTGTGATCCCTATCGCTCCCACCACACACACAGGGGAGAGCTGCTGTAGCGTGCCCGAGAAGTCCAAGCATGTAAGAAACCATTTCAGGAGCTCGCACTCCAACAACCCTTGAGGGCTGCATTTCAGGCAGAGCAAATCGCTGTGCCGATGTAGGCAGACATAAAGCAAATAACAGGTTGCAGCAGCCCATTTCCCACCCCCAACAGCTGAGTGGGAGAAGCGCAAGCAGAAAGACACCCCACTTGCTTACTTCTCTGCCAAACACGCAAAACAAGAACCCAAAATCAAAGGAGCTCATACAGGAAGCGTAGAAAGGATTTTTGTTTAGAGGAGCAAACACAGGGGTTTCAAGCTTCCCCACCCTCCCCTCGGTTCCCCCGGGACCCCCTCTCCGAGGCCGCTCACTTTTCTTAAACAGGATTTTGATCCTCTCCCTCTTGCCGGCAATATTGCTCAGAGCCACCTGCACCTTCACCAGCTCATCCGCCACCTGCAGGGGCGCAAAGGAAGGGGACGGGCCCATCAGACCCCACCGAGCCGAGGCACCTCGGGCCAGGCCCCCGGGGGCTCAGAGACGTCCCCCGAGCGCTGCGGGACCTCCCGACACCTTGCGCAGCCCGCAGGTCCTGTCGCCGACACGCTGCTCCAGCCCCTCCCATCACC